GGTATGGATAGGCTGCCAGCTCAGACCACATCTATGTGTATCTACTCATTTACTTGCTTCTGTGGAACTGGCTATATCAGTCGCACGAGTCAGCACTTGTCCGAAAGAATACAGGAGCACCTCCCTGTATGGCTGGCCAAAAATGAAGTCAGAGGCATCAAGAGCTCCATCCTTGCCCACACGGTTCACGCCGGACATCGTGTGCACTCCGGCGAAGCCTTTAAGGTCTCGCTAATCTACCCAAAGTCCCTGGGTCAGCGTTTGTTAGCATCAGCAAAAGCAACCGCAATCCGGTTGAGGAAGCCGGTTTTGTGTGCGCAAACGAACCTCCTGCAAGCTCCCAGCTTGGCATGGCCAACGGTTAGACAACTGCCTTCATCTTTCCGCGCTCTCTCCCCTCCCCATCCTCATCGCCTCGCACTCAGTCGAGTACTGTCAACCCCATTCCCTACCCTTCTCCCATGACTAATTTGCCTGTAACGATGAACATAATTGTCAGCATGTTACTTTTTACCCCTCCCTATATAAATGTAATGGCCCGAAGAAAATTTATAGAAAGCTACTTATGTTCGCCAGATATTCTTTTAAAGAAATGTTATTTTTATATAAAGAAATTGGTTACGTTAAATTTAACTTAAATTTATTGTTCTAATTACCAACAATTTTTGACGCCTCCGGAACTTGTGGATTTTCGGGAAAATTTTATATTTCTTAACAAACGCTTAGTACTTCTTATACTTCTTTTAAGTACTTAATATGCCTAATGCTGTTCTAAGTTTTCGTAAATGCGTGCACGCTGTAATGCGAGGCATTTTGCATGCCGCACTCGCCATAGTGTATATATCCAGTGCCTCCCTAAAAATGCATACGCATTTAACATAATTTTAAAATTGGTGTTTATCATAATAATTTTATGAAAAATGGTAAAAATCATTTAAAAGTACCATTTTATTGTTTTTTTCTCACGGAATGTTCCCAAACTGACGTCCATTTTGATCATAACACTGTTGACAACGCGAAGCAATGGTATCGCACAAACCATTAACAACAATTTCCTTGGTATTCGGGTGCATCGATGTTCAGCGGCTTCTTTCAATTCAGCCACTGTTGCAATAGTCAAAATGCAGTGACAATACGATAAATTGATACTTTTAATGTTTAAAGCCTAAAATTTTGCTAAAAAAGCTGCCATTTCTTAACAGCGTAATACGACTTGATAAATCGCAATATTAGGAGGTTTGCAGATTTGCTTAATTTGAGTTGACCCATTTGTGAAAAAACTCGAGGCGTTCGGCGGGATTTGAACCCGCGTATGAGAGAAGTCCTTTACCGGCTGCCAACGCTCTAACCGCTAAGCTACAAACGGGCCGTTTTTTCGCCATGAATTTTATCGCACTTGGGTCGATATTACCCGCGGGGCATTTGTAG